AGGTGAGCTCAGGCAGCGGCCTGTCTGGGACTGAGGGGAAGGTGGCAGTGCAGCCCCAGGCTGCTGCACGCAGGCCTCAGTGATGCACACACATCAGGGGGGCCAGCACAGATTGGGAAGAACTTGTTTGGGGGCAGTGACATCGATATGCCTAGAGGACAGCTTGGTCGGAGCTGGCCCCATGACTCTGGGAAGTTCCCACCTGCTCCCCCAGGGAGGGCTAGTACCATTAGTCCCAGGCACCTTCTGAGAAGAGTAAGGCTCAGGGAGGTGAGGAGACTTGCTCAAAGTCCAGAGTCAGCTGAAACCTGGATTGTGTGACACGAGTCCGCCTTTCTCTCCAATGATGAGACTATAGAATAGCTGCAGGTAGGAGCAGGCAAGAAGCGCCCCTCTGCCCCCAACTGCCAGACTTTTCAAAGACTGTGTCCAGGCCCTCTGGCTCTCACTCACCTACTGCTGGCTCCTGTTTGCCGACTGCTCTCCTGAACTTCTCTGTAGGAAGCTGCTCTTGCTGCCAAGTTCACAGAAGTCCAGGCCATCAACAGGCAGAGGCTGCAGAATCTGGAGTTTGCACTGAATCTCCTGAGACAGGTAATCGATCTTAGTAAGAAACCCTGCTTAAAACTATTATACCAGCTGAAAAATGAAAGCTTCCTCCTGCCCCAGACAGCCTAGGAATGAGGGAATGTCTCTTGCTAACAATTCTGGGCAGTACCCTGGCTGAATGTCAGTTCCACTGACATTGAATTCAATAAATGTTTGCTAAGGACCCACTAAAAAGTTATTTTTAGAAGACCACAATACTTATGACAACACTGTTTATCGTAGCAAGAAACTGGAATCGACTCCAAGTCGTCAGCAGTGGGCTGGTTAAATCCCATTCACACGGCAGAGGGCTGGGCTGCTGCAAGGAAGGGAGTTGCATGCTCTGGGTCAGAGTTGGATCCTTCTGATTGTGCCATAAACAGCAGAGTACAGAACGGGAGATGAGGCGGACATTTGTGCAGAAAAAGTAAACGTGTTTAGTGGGGCACACCAAAATGCACAGGCTGAAGGAAGCACAGAAAACGGCTTCGAGGACTGACATCCCCTGGGGACAGACGACAGAGGTTTCACTTCAGACTCCTCTGCCGTTGTAAAATATTTTGCCTCATTTCGTTTTATAAAACCAATCTAGTTTTTTTTTATTTTTTTTTGGCCACTTTAAAAACTAGCCCAAGAACTCTAATGGAATCCTGGGGATCATAGGACAGTCTGACCTGTTCCAAGGTGAGCAGATTTGTTCTGGCTTTAATCACATATTGTCTTGTCTGTCACAGCAGCCAGACACAGAAGTGACCCGTGAGACCCTGCAAGGGAACAATCCGGGCTCCAGTGTGGAGGAGACATGGAAGATCAAGAAGGAACTGGACGAGGAGGCTGAGCGAAGGCAGCAGCTGGAGAATGAGGTCAAGAGCACCCAGGAGGAAATCCGGACCCTGCGGAATCAGGGGCCTCAGGAGTCGCTGGTGAGGAAGGAGGTGCTAAAGAAAGTGCCAGACCCCGCACTGGAGGAGAGCTTCCAGCAGATGCAGCGGACCCTGGTGGAAGAGCAGCACAAGAACCAGCTGCTGCAGGAGGAGCTGGAGGCGCTGCAGCTACGGTTGCGCGCCCTGGAGCAGGAGACCAGAGATGGGGGGCAGGAGTATGTGGTCAAAGAGGTCTTGCGCATCGAGCCCGACAGAGCCCAGGCAGACGAAGTCCTGCAGCTGCGGGAGGAGCTGGAGACACTGAGGCGGCAGAAGGGTGCCCGGGAAGCAGAGGTGCTTCTCCTACAGCAGCGCGTGGCAGCCCTGGCTACTGAAAAAAGCCGGGTACAGGAGAAGGTCACAGAGAAGGAGGTAGTGAAGCTGCAGAATGACCCCCAGCTGGAGGCGGAGTACCAGCAGCTGCAGGAGGAGCACCAGCGGGAGGGCAAGCTCAGGGAGAAGCAGGAGGAGGAGCTGAGCTTCCTGCAGGCCAAGCTCAGGAGGCTGGAGAAGGAGCGGGCCATGGCTGAGGGCAAGATAACTGTCAAGGAGGTGCTCAAGGTGGAGAAGGATGCAGCTGCAGAGAGGGAGGTCAGTGACCTCACCCGCCAGTATGAGGATGAGGCCACCAAGGCCAGAGCCAGCCAGCGGGAGAAAACAGAGCTGCTTCGAAAGATATGGGCTTTGGAGGAGGAGAATGCCAAAGTGGTGGTGCAGGAGAAAGTCCGCGAGATCGTGCGGCCAGACCCCAAGGCAGAGAGCGAAGTGGCCAATCTCCGCCTGGAGCTGGTGGAGCAGGAGCGGAAGTACAGGGCTGCAGAGGAGCAGCTCAAGAGCTACCAGGGTGAGCTGGAGGCTCTCCGGAGGCGGGGCCCGCAGGTGGAAGTCAAAGAGGTAACTAAAGAAGTCATTAAGTACACCACTGACCCAGAGACAGAGAAGGAGCTGCAGCGACTCAGGGAGGAGATCGTGGACAAGACCAGGCTGATTGAGAGGTGTGACTTAGAAATCTATCAGCTGAAGCAGGAGATCCAGTCCCTGAAGGACACAAAGCCGCAGGTCCAGACCAGAGAGGTGGTCCAGGAGATCCTCCAGTTCGAGGAAGACCCCCAAACCAGAAAGGAGGTAGAATCTCTGCGGGCAAAGCTGTCAGAAGAGCAGAAGAAGCAGGTGGACCTGGAAGGGGAGCGAGTGTTACAAGAAGAGAAGATCAGGGGCAAGGAGGAGGAGCTTGCCCAGGGGAGGGAGAGGGTGGTGCGCCAGGAGGTGGTACAGTACGAGGAGGAGCCAGGCCTGCGGGCGGAGGTGAGCGCCTTCACTGACAGCATTGATGCTGAGCTGCGCCAGATCGACAAGCTGCGCACTGAGCTGCGGAGGCTGCAGCGGCGGCGTGGGGAACTAGAGAGGCAACTGGAAGAGCTGGAGCGTGAGCGGCAGGCGCGCAGGGCAGCTGAGCAGGAGGTGCAGCGCCTGCAGCAGCGGCTGGCTGCGCTGGAGCAGGAGGAGGCCAAGGCTGGTGAGAAGGTGACCCGCACACAGAAGGTGGTGCTGCAGCAGGACCCACAGCAGACCAGGGAGCACGCCCTGCTCCAAGCCCAGCTGAAGGAAGAGCGGCACCGGAGACAACTGCTGGAGGGCGAGCTGGAGCCCCTGCGTAGAAAGCTGGCTGCCCTCGAGAAGGCGGAGGTCAAAGAGAAGGTCGTCTTCTCTGAGAGTGTCCAGGTGGAGAAGGGCAACACCGAACAGGAGATCCAGAAGCTCAAGAGGAGCCTGGAAGAGGAGAGCAGGAGCAAGAGGGAGCTGGATGCCGAGGTGGCTCAGCTGGAAGCCAAGCTGTCAGAGCTGGAATTCCACAACTCTAAGTCGTCCAAGGAGCTGGACTTCCTAAGGGAAGAGAACCACAAACTTCAGCTAGAGCGACAAAACCTGCAGCTGGAGACCCGAAGGCTCCAATCAGAAATTGAAATGGCAGCAGCAGAAACACGAGACCTGCGGAACACGACCATGGTGGACTCTAGGACCAACCTCGACTCCAGACTGTGGTCCTTGGAGAGAGAACTGGATGATCTCAAGAGGCTGTCCAAGGACAAAGATCTCGAGATTGATGAGCTGCAGAGGCGCCTGGGGTCCGTGTCCGTCAAGAGGGAGCAGAGGGAAAATCACCTGCGGCGCTCCATCGTGGTGATTGACCCCGACACAGGCCGTGAGCTGTCCCCTGAGGAGGCCCACAGGGCTGGGCTCATCGACTGGAACATGTTTGTGAAACTCAGAAGCCAGGAGTGCGACTGGGAGGAGATATCGGTAAAGGGTCCCAATGGGGAGTCCTCAGTGATACACGATAGGAAGTCTGGCAAGAAGTTTTCTATTGAGGAAGCCCTGCAGAGCGGCAGGCTGACCCCTGCTCAGTATGATCGCTATGTCAACAAGGATATGTCCATTCAGGAGCTGGCGGTCCTGGTGTCTGGGCAGAAGTAGGCTCAGCCCTTCCGCCCATCTCTTCTTGGGAGGTGGAAAGCTGGCTTGCTCCTCCTCAGCAGCCTCCCAGGTAGCTCATCCCTGATCCTGTGCAGACTCCTAATCCGTGCAGAATGCTCGGAGTGCAGTTCGCGTGTGAGCAGAACCGGCACTGGCAGCTCCTATCTCAGCCATCATTCAACCTGGGTGAGCAACCTGCTCCGGCCTCCAATGATCTGACATCTACATGCCCTTTTTTTTTTTTTTCCTTTCCCAATATACTCCCATCAACAGACTCCTCTTATGATGGCTGGAAACAGTCTGAAAACTACTACAGCACAGCGCAACCACAACAGACATGCTCACTCAGGGCAGCGTGGGCCTTGGCACACCGGCCAGCAAAATCTAGGCAGAGGCCTCCTTCCACCCACTCCATTTACTAAAGGACAGGGCTGCCAGGCTGCCCATGGGCACACCCTCCAGCTTTCTTACTGGGAACCAACTTTGTGAGTAAGGCCTCCCCAGTAGTAACTCTGCCCACAAGACAGGCTCTATGCCAGAAAGGCACAAGGAACCACAGGGCCTGTCAGCCACGCTGTACAAGGAGGACATTCTATCAGGACATGGTCTGCAATCGGAAGATCTTAAGGATGGCTGGTGTTGCGGATAGCCTGTTTCGTTGCCTTGCGAGTCTTGTTTATTATCTCACTGGTATATAGGTATAGAAAACTGTTCACCAAATTTCCCATTTTCTGTATCTCATGTGTTATGTAAGAAGATGGCAAATAAGAGGGAACTTTATTTATAGCATGAAAATAAAAACTGGTGGCTTGATTCTAATGTCATAGTGAGCGTGTTTTTCCGCCCTTGCATGTGGAAGCTTCCTTTGCTTACTCCCTCCCTTTCAACCTTCAGACAAAATGGGTATCACGTATATACCAGGTTCTCCGGAAGGAAGAACTACTAGCGAATACAACTGAAAGAAAGAATGAGAAACAGGTTTTTGGAAACCTTGAAACAATTTATTGAGTTGCTTTATACAAGATTAACAATTTCCACACCACCCCCAACACCAACATAGTCGCTGCACAAAAGTAACAGCCCCTCTCACACCTAAGAAACGGCCATGTTCGGTAAGTGCTCAGAGACTTCCGCCCGCCAAGGGAACCCCTGCAGCCCCTTGAGCGTGCTCTGCCCCACGCCTCCACTGCAGCTGGGCTGTAGATCTGCCTTGCCATGGCTGTTTGTCATTCACTCTTTCGTTACCACAAATAAAGCATAAACAAGAAAAAGAAATCTCAAACTCCCCATCAAAGAAACATTTCCCTGAGGCAAGAGGCATCACTAGATTCCTAAGGACAAGGGTATCCTGCTCCAGCTGCACACTCAGTGGCACACGGGGAGGAGGGAGCACCAAAGGGCGAGGAGGGAGGTGAGGGGGGCTGGGGCTGGGACCTGGGTGTTCATGGGCAGAGGAGCCTGGAGAGTTCCCACTGCTCAGCCTTCGCTGACGGCCTCGGCTCGGCTTTGAGCTCAGCTATACAAATCTCTTCTTTGGCTCTTTTGCTACTACCTAAGACTATTCTGTAAACAAACTGGAAATCCAAGTTGCAAAAAATATATATAATAAAAGGATAAGGAACCCATGTGGCCCAATGTGAAACAGATTGGTTCTTACATACAAAAAGAGTCAGAGCAGAGGCCAGGCTGAGTAGCTGACAGAGGTCTTGCTCCCAGCACAGGGGGAAGGGCACCAACCTCCACAGGAAGTGGGAGTTACTGAGCATCGCACCTGGGAGTCAGGAACCGAAAGACTGTCTGTTTTCACCCAGGTGCACATGCTGAGGATGCTCTCTTAACATGTCAAATTGCTCACCTGGGCAGTCAGACTCACCTGTGGCACAGATTCACAGAATAAGCAAGGGCCCTCGAAGTCCTTGTGAAATGGCCACTGGCTGAGTGTGACCAGCCTGGTGACAGGAGTTCTATAGTTGCTATCCTCACCTGCCTCAGATTCACTCTCCAGTTCCTCTGGGCAGCACCCCAGTCCACAAAGAACCCCACTGCCTGGAGAGCTCAACACTTCCAGGTCCACTGTAGGCAGCAGACGCTTCACAGAGGCCTATCCCTGCAACTCTGCCTAAGAAGGATTTCTAAGAATAAGAAACTGGAATGTCACCTGTGACTCGGAATCCCTCGTCTCAGCCCTCACACACAAAGGGCTTTGGGGTTCCCCTGCAGTCTACCTGTACCAACTCTGGAAAAACAAAATGGGAGCCCTGGCTCAACTGGGACCTGGGGTTGGGGTCCCAGATGACTTTCAAGTCAGGACGGCGCAGGTTATGATGTGCAACCATAAAAATCTCAATTAAATAAAACTGGCTATGTCCTAAATACAGACATCTCTTTAAAAAAAGGTCTTCATCTCAGATCCACTCAGGGGACTGAATGGACGTTGTGTTGTCGAATTCTGCTCCACCATAAAGGCACTGGAATTGAGTCTTCCTATAATGTGACGTGTGAAGAGCAGTCCCATTCTATCCAATGCATTTAATGGTAATGACGAAAACTGAGCCCAAGATAGATGTCTTTAAAAATCCTACCATAATTGTTGAATCTACAAAGGTCTCTTCTCTATAAGAGCTTCATTGTCATGTTCAGAGGAAAAACTGGTCCCCCATAGATAGCACACAGTAAGAGTTCTTAATATTTTGCAAGGAGACAAGAGGGGCCTCCCACCTGTGGCTCAGGCCTGGGTCTTGTCCTTTTGAGCACACAGCTTGGGGATGGGATAACACTGACCATCCAGGGATCCTAATGTGGCCAGAAGGAGCCCCAGACCCATCAAGTGCTGTGAGGTACTTGGACTGAGTGCTGGGGGCCAGGCAGACCTAAACAGCTGTGCCAACGGATCTGCAACCAGAGCTTGTGGACTCCCCGCTTCCCAAGAGCCCAGCACACTCCCACACCCAGAGCTGCCCTCTAACAACCTTCCAGCAACAGAGCTGTGAGGCCCAGAGCACCAGGTCAGTAAGTGCTTCACCAGCAGCGTGAGCTGCTCCTTAGTTGGAGGCTTGTCAGAAGTGCCAGGACACGCTCCGGGAACTCACGCCTGCTTCGGAAGGAAACCAGTATGCAGAGTGTGCAGGAGACGCCCGCCATCTGAGACCTCCACGTTGAGCTTCCACTGGACCCAAGTCAATCGAGCCTGTCCTCTCAAGTGGTCACAACTTCCGTGGCACACTAGGCCCCTTCCCGTGAAGCTGAGAAGCATCTGGAGAATAAGAACAGAACAGTCTTTCAGGAGCTGACTCCATACGTAGGCACTGGCATTACGCAGGCCAATGGTGTACTGAGCAGTGTGCCCAGAACAGCTCCTGAGATGTGACTTAGGCCACTTCACAGCTCAGGTGACAACCGCCACTATGACAAGGCCTGATGTTCACACACAACTCAGGGTAGCAGTGCTCACCACCAGGTATAGGGACAACTGTAAAGACACCAGCGTGGAGTCCAGGCAGAGAGGAAGGGAAAGCAAAGCAGACACAGACACGGCTGTGTTGCTGCCACGCAGAGCCTGATGGCAGCCCCTCAGGTAACGACCACCTGAAGTGCGGCGCAGGAGGAGGGGAAGGCTCACTGGCGTTAGCACAGCTGCTCTGCGGAGAGCCTTTTAATACCCAGAAGAAAAACAGCAAAATGCTACAAGAAAGCAATGTCCTTCTTTTCCATCCTTTCTCTCTCATTTCCTTCTACTTTTTGGGTGAAAATACCACAGACCCTCAATCTCTTTCCATTGGCTCTTTATTTCGTTTCTTTTAGAGAGGAACATTCCCCAAAGCAGGCAGAGGTGGGCCATCTGTCACACACCCAAGATCTCACCTAGGTAGCTCCATGGATGCTTGCACTACACTTATTCCCACTGGCAGCCACCGGTATGTGGGGGAAATCCATGCATTTCACTGCTTCTCCAGAGGAAAAAGGGCTAACTACAGACATAGGCTTAGCCCCCAAGGAAGCCAAATTTTCATCTAGAGACCTACAAACTCATTCTCACTCCCAGCTGGCCTCTGGCACTCACTACCAATGCTTCAACCTCAGAACCAGCCTTCAGAGACCCACAGCAGACCAGGAGGTAGACATCTACTTGACAGTCATGGGTCCTACCCTCTCCATATGGCAGGTCAAGTCATGTATAGCCCAGGGGCCCTCAATCCACAGGGTAGTAACCTAGGCTCAGCTTCGCTAAGACTGGCTCTTCCCTTACTAATGCAGCCCAGGGCCTGTCTGGCACAAGTCTAAAGGCAGTAAGAACACCAGTCAAATCCTAGTGTTCCATCAGGCTTCTCATACTAGAATTCTATGAGGTCTGTCCCCAAGAAAACAGGACTGAATGTGGCACATCTACTTTCTACCAAGTGCCTGCCTGAGGCACCGATGCCTATTTCTCATGCCACTAAGCAGTGACACACCAAAGGCTAGCTTAAAATAGCTATTCTGTGGGGACACTGCCTCGTTCCTGGTGTGCTCCCAAATCTGTTTCCAAGAAGGCTTTACATCTGGCCAGACTGAAAGTGGCTTCTCATTCAGGTCCATGCTGCCATCAGAGGGAAACTGTCCTTCCTCAGAGTCTTGTACTGTGGCCCCTCACTGCTCTGTGGATTTCTCCCATTTACAGAAGCAAAGTATGGAGAGCCTCTGTGAACTGACAAATACCAGTGAGCGCACAGCCTTGCTGTGAAGGCCGGTAGTGCCCACTAGCCCTTGGGAGAGTCCTACCATTACTTTCTTTCTTAACCAAAGAGGGAAAAGATGCTAAGAGTCAGGACAGACCCTGCCTCTGGGTCAGGTCCCATAGCTTTCTGTGCTCACCAAGGCTCAGGGTTCCAGTCGAGAACCCAGCAGTCTCACTGTGGAGGCCATGTTATTCCGATGCCCACATAGCCAGACCCTTAAAAGACAAGGCGAGACGACAACACAGCAACGACAAGGCAGACATTCCACGTCCAGCAGTAGACAAAGCACCTAAGGATGGAGAGCAGCAGTGCACAGAGTGCATGGCAGGGGCACATCTGGCAATTACCTGGCAGACTCTGCGGGACATGGGTGGACACGGCAGCATGTGGGAGAGTTGCTGCATGGGGCGGGCTGGAGTGCAAGCCAGCCAGAAGACCTGAGAGAAACAGGAGGGGAGAGAACAAAACACGAACATTGAAGACAGAAGGGAAAAACAGCCCTGGCAGCCAAGAGCCCCTGACGACTGGCCAGACCAGTCTAAGAACCAAACCCAAAGGGGAGGGGCTCAGCACTGTCCCAGGGACATTCCCCATGGTCACACCAGAAACACACAGGAACCACAGCACACCACAACACAGGGACAGAGACAGAAGACAGGTACTTACTGTGGCTGATACCGTGGTGGAAGGTCCCAGGGGCTGGGCCTGTGACGATGGCATCCTTGGAGACCCCCGCTTTAGCAGAGGACTCCGCACTGAAGGAGAGCACATGGAGTGGAAATGGGACAGGGGCAAGGATCCCCAGTGAGTTAGAGTTCACTGCCCCAGGCAGCTTGGGGTTGCTGGACTTGTAGGATGAAGACAGCAGGTTTAAGGGAGAGGAGCTGGTCAGCAGCACAGCCCCACCCGGTCCTTTCTGGGGAGGAAACATAGACAAGTGGTCAGAAGCCTGGTCCTGTTAACTCATAGCAAACCTAGGAGCGTGCACAACAGGCACACACATCAAATGCCCCAGAAAAGGCACTTTTCTATTTTGCAGTCCTGGAGAAAAGAACAAGGACAGTCTATGAAATGGCATGGAGTGCGTTCCAGGGCATAGGACACTAAAGGTGTCTCTTTGGTGAGGAGAGGAAAGACCACCACTGTGGATATCCACAAGTATGTGTATGCACCTTCTTATACACCCATTTATTTTGCATACGTTTACTATGTAAATACACATATATTTGTGTATATTTGGTTAGTCTTTGTTTTTAAAAAGAAATAGGAAGACTGAGGATGTAGCTTAGTGGCATAGCACTTGCCTACTAAGTGTAAGTCCTTAGATTCAGTCCCCATCTCCCCAAGCTGTACCCAAACTTCTTATAATTATCTCCCACCCTCAGCATTCACTAGCTGCTGAATTCTGATAAATCACCTCTGACCTGCAGATTCCTTCAAAACCAATCAGAGAATCGTTCTCAGAAGGTACTGCTATTTCCAGGGCATGAAAGCCTTAGCACCTGACAGATGAAGGCATTTTCTGGAGAGATACACAGGTCAGAGGTGGAAGGAGGGAAGTTCTGTGGCTCATTGTGCAGGTGCAGACCCAGCCTCTCTACAGGCACAATACTGACAGCTGTTTTTGCTCCACTCACCCTCCTAAGAAGACAGGCAGGTTATCCTGGGCCTTCCTACTCCCAGAAAAGGGAAGACTGAGCAGGAAGCTCAGTTCTCCATCCAGAGTATGAGCTCACTATTCCCACCTGACCTTCAGCTTCAGATCACATTCTCCACTCAGGGCAAGGCAAGTGGCCTTGTCCCTGAGTCCCCAGGGGTGGGACAGGCTGCATGCTGGGATACTCACTGGCAAGGAGGTAGATGATGTCACACTACTAACTGTGGCGGGCTTCAGGGAGGAGGTCAGTAACTTTGCCACTCCCTGGGTACCACCACCGGAATCTCCATTTGGACCACCAGGAGGGGCTACCAGGGTCAGCTTCTGGGAAACAGGTGGTTTCTTCACTGTCGAGCTTGGGACAGGCTGGCTGGTGGACTGTCCTGTGGAAGGAGGCTGTATGCTGGGGAGCAGGGTCCCAGAAGCAGAGCTCTGCACTCGGGTTCCTCCAGAGGAAGAGCTGCCAGAAGAAACCCCATGTTTGGAGATAGAGCCAGCAAATGGATTATTCTTATAAGATGGCCCCGCAGAGTTGGCTGGGTGCTGTTTTGCTGGGTGGCTCAGGGCAGTAGAGGACGAGGCTGGGGTCTTATGAGAGCTGCCACTGGAAGATGGTGAGCCTCCAGAGGAGGTTGGTGTGGGGGGATGGAAGCTCTGGCCTTTGGCTGCTGTCTTCACTAGCTGCACAAGGGAACGATGACACTGTGGGGAGGAAGCCTTTGGGCCTTGGAGTTTACTGACAAATGGAGCTGGGGGCGTGAAATTTTTCTGCTGCTGAGTGCCTGCATGAAAGACTTTGACTTGGGGGCCAGGTACTGGAGCTGCCGCCTGGGGTCCATGAGACGTCCGTGGCAAGCTGTGGTGCTTTGCTTTGGACTGGTGTACTTCTGGCAGGCCCTTGCTGAGGGGAGCCTGACAGGACAGCTCTTTGTAGCCAGAACTCTCTGGTTTTTTCTCCTGAGAGGATTGCCCCAGTGCTAGAGCCTGTTCAGCCAGAAAATTTAGGGGTGACTGCAGTGTGCTAGCGGGTGGTGGTGCAGAGGGGTTGGGTTTCACAAAGTTCCTTTTCTCTTCTGCACACAAAACACCTGTGACTTTTTCTGCTGGTGCTTTGGAGGGTGCAGCCATTGTGAACTCAGAGCTCCCAGCCACTCTGCTATTCAACACGGCCAGCTCCTTGGACACGGCTTCCATCGAGGAGGCTGGATCATGGCCCAAGTCTTCATCCAATGAGTCCTCCAGGTTGACAGGAGCAGGGTTAGTGAGGCCACCAGACACCTGGGATGGGGGCTCCCTACTCGTGGACCCAATGTTCAGGCCTCCTCCCTGGTGTTCCGATGGCAAAGCAGTGGAGCCAGCCATTTGTCCTGATGGGACGGAAGCCTTTTTATCAGGCTTAGCAGAAGACTCCTAAATGAAAACAGAAATGATGACTGTTTAGAAATGTCCAAAGATGCCAGCGCTGGCCTGTTGTGAGGACATAAATGGGAACAACTCAAAGATCTGAGATTCCTGTATAATTACAAAACAAGGTGTGGACAGAGCAGATGTCAAGCCTGCCTTGTCTTAGGCACCTTTTGGTATATGTTATGCTTTGTGCTAAGGACATGCCCAGTCACAGGGAAACTTCTCTTTTCTGTTTCTGAAAAGTACAAGACCTATGCAAGAAGACACACTGCCTAGTGGCATTCACACTGTCTTGAAGTGTTCCTTGCTGCAGACTGACACATGGCATAAGAACTATCTTAAATTAGCTTTCTTTTCTCTTTGATTTCTCCCAGCACCCATCTCTCCTCGGTCCTTATGGGACTAGGAAAGGAATCTATCCTGTCACTCCTGCACCTCTGATACTTATCACAGTATGTCTCAGACACTGTAGAAGCTTGGCAGATACTCAGGAACATATGGCTGGCACAACTTATTCTCACGATCTCTTTAGGTATGGCTAAGGAGACCACCAAGTCTTAGGAACTGGTAAGAATATGGCAAGTAGCAATGTTCTCTACACTGAGAGGTCTCTGCAGCTCTTGCACTCTGGCAGGCAGCCCAACAGTCGCCTCTCCTTTCTGCTGTTGCTCCAGGCTACACTGCACTTGGCCAGGAGTGTATCTTGGCGTACGACCTTCACAACTGCAGGGGTGCCTCACTCCTCAGAGGACTTCCAAAGATCCCACCTACCCCACAACAACCCCAGAAACTGGGCCAGCTAGGTACTGTTTTATAGACTTGAGCCTGGGGCAGGAGGATTAAATGGCCCATGCAGGTCTCTGCCCTGGTTCAAGAATAGCTATTCCCCTAGACCAGTGAAACTCAACAGCTGCCATGGTCATTTAAGAAGTTTCCTGGGCACTGCTTGCAGGGAGAAAAGGACAGCCAGCATATGACCTGAGCAAGCTGACTCACCTTCACCTTGATTTTAGAAGGGGCCATTACTTTCTTCTTGGCTCTGTTCAAAGAAATAAACACAGGGAAGGTTCAGAGGAGATCCACAGAAAGAGATAAAACAACAGTGTTCTGAGAAATGAAAAACGCCAAGACACTCACAAAATTGATGTCAGGTGTCCATGGCCTCGTCGACTCTCCTTAAACAGAGTCCTGAAAGAAACAGAACATGGCATTCTGTTCACCCTAGACACCACCATTCTATTTCCAGAGCTTTTCTAGCAACTCTGGTACTTGGTGGCTGCTCTTAAATCCAGTTGACTGGTGAGCTGAATTCCTATTGAGAGTCCAAAGCAGCCACCCTGGTGGGATGGAAGCCTTTCAAAAGCCCATCAAAAGCCAAGAGTATGGACTTTATAAAAAAAGACTATGGCTCTGTCCCTGACCTCATGGCCACCTTCTCCTAGGCAGAAGCACTTTCCTTACTGCCTATCCTTGACACAGCCAAGAAGAAAATGTGGGGTGAAACTCAAAACAAATTTCTTCATACAAGTCCAACCTATAAGAACAGAACAATTCCCAAGGCTTTATGATTTGTGCAAATTACAAATAAATAGGGCCCAACAGAAAATCAGCCCTAGCTAACTTTCCCTGCCCTGTGTACAGCAGACATACTCCATTTGTGGGAAGTGACCTCTTCAACAGAAGCCTGGTATTTAGCTCCAGGAAGATGACGGTCCTGCTACTTGAAAATGAGACTTTTGAGGACCATTAAGAAGCACCCATGGATGGATTCAAACTAAAAAGCTGCTTCTCAGCAAAAGAAACAATCAGTGAGGTGAGTAGAGAGCCTACATCTTGGGAGCAAATTTTTGCCACTTGCACATCAGATAGAGCATTTATCTCTAGGGTATATAAAGAACTCAAAGAGCTAAACACCAAAAAAAAAAAAAAAAAAAAAATCAATAAGTGGGCCAAGGAACTGAACAGACATTTCTCAGAAGAGGATATATAATCAATCAACAAATATACGAAAAAATGTTCAACATCTCTAACAATTAGAGGAATGCAAATCAAAACTCCTCTAAGATTTTATCTCACTCCAGTCAGAAACAATAAGTGTTGGCGAGGATGTGGGGAAAAAGGTAAACTCATACTTTGCTGGTGGGACTGTAAAATGGTGCGGCCAATATGGAAAGCAGTATGGATATTCCTTGGAAAACTGGGAATGGAACCATCTTTTGACCCAGCTATCCCACTCCTCGGGCTATACCCAAAGGACTTAAAAACAGCATACTTCAGGGACACAGCTACATCAATGTTTATTGCAGCACAATTCACAATAGCTAAACTGTGGAACCAACCTAGATGGCTTTCAGTAGATGGATGGATAAAGAAAATGTGGTATATATACACAATAGAATATTACTCAGCAATAAAAGAGAATAAAATCATTGCATTTGCAGGTAAATGGATGGAGTTAGAGTATATAATGCTAAGTGAATTTAGCCAATCCCCAAAAAACAAATGCCGAATGTTTTCACTGATAAAAGGAGGCTGATTTATAATGGGGTTGGGAGGGAGAGCATGGGAAGGTTAAACAAAGTCTAGATAGGGCAAAGGTGTGGGAGGGGAAGAGACTGGGTATGGAGGTAGAAATGAAGGTGTAATGAGATGAATATCATTACCCTAAATACATATATGAAGACATGAATGATGTGAATATACTTTGTATACAACCAGAGATATGAAAAATTATGCTTTATCAACATATGAATTATAATGCATTCTGCTGCATATATAAAACAAAATAGAATAAAAAAATTTTTTAAAAGTACCCACGAAGCCAGGCCCAGTGGCACACACCTGTAATCCCAGCAACATGGGAGGCTGAAGCAAGAGGATCACAAGTTCGAGGCCAGCCTCAGCAACTGAGTAAGGGCCTAAGCAACTTAGCAAGACTCTGTCTCAAAGAATAAAAAGGGGACTGGAGTTTTAGCTCAGTGGTAGAGCACTTACTTTGCAAGTGTGAGGCATTGGGTTCAATCCTAGCACCACATAAAAACAAATAAAGGCATTGAGTCCATATACAGCTAAAAAAAAATTTAAAATAAATAAATAAAAAGGGCTCAGTGGTTAAGCATCCCTGAATTCAATCCCCAGTATCAAAACAAAAACCAAAATAAAAACCACAAAAAGAAGCACCCATGATGGGTAGTGGTATATGCCTGTGACCCCAGCGACCCAGGAGGCAGCAGGAAGATGGCAAGTTTGAGGCCAGCCTTAGCAACTTAGTGAGACCTTATCTCAAAATAACATGTAGCTCAGCAGTAGAGCACTTTCCTAGTATGTTCAGGTCAATCCCCAAAACTGCAAAGAGCAACCAGAAAAAGTAGCACCCAAGATGAATCCATCTCTCAACCTCTGGCAGGAGCCATTATGTCAAAACAGGAAAGGGCATAAGAAGCATGCAGCCAATCCTGAGCCACAGAAGGGTGAAGAATGACAATGACAAAACCCCATAGGGAACTTTCTCTCTTCTACGCAAGACTGACAACAATCTTTCCTAGCTTCTATTATCTCCCCAAATTACTCAGGTGACATCAGATTTGAGTCAATTGGACAGTGGCTCCTTTCCTGTCTGATCACACTGACCCTCACCTGGCCTGCATCCAGCCTTTGGGCCAGAGAGGCTTGACCTCTGCATCCAGAAAGGCCTTCACGCAGTCCTCCCATGCCTGGGCCTTGTTCCTCTCCAGATCATGGCTTTCCAGTTTGATCTTCACCACTTGGCACAGCAGTTCCCTGAGAAGTAGGCAGAAATCAGAAACTTGCAACCACCCAACTCTTCTTCAAGCTGTTAATCATGTGCTTTCAGCTGTTCTGATGAAAGTAAATGATCCTAACCTTCACTAGCAGTATGGGGACATGCTCAGAAACTGGCCCACAAACCCTCCAGTGAGGCAAGGTCCCAGCTTAGGCACACCTGATTTCATCATTCCACTGGAATTTCTTCCTTGGTCCCATTATCCTCCTGCCACCCTTTTCTTCATCATCTTCCTCATCAGAACAAATCCGTTCTCTCTGCTCCTTGTCTTTTTCCTCTTCCAGCATCCTACACAGAGAAGAGAAAGAAATGGACTCTGAAGACCTCCTCCTCGCCTCTTCCTCCTCCTCCCTACTTAATTGGGACTTCTAAGATCAGACATGAAAATGCTGAAGAGCCAAGAGTCTGGTTTGAAATGAAAGTAAATACTGAGAGGTGTGAAGAGAAGAGACAACAGGATAATGGTGCACTAGGGCAAAGAGACACTTACTTAGCGACCTTTGCTTGCGTGTGTGCCTGGCACTCATCCTGGTACTTGGCCACCTGCTCAGGCATTGCCCTGCCAATGGCTTCCTTGAGCTTCTGGAGAGGCTCCTTCAGGCGCCCACCCTGCAGAGAGCAGGACACAGCACAAGTCTTGTTCACACACCAGACTTACACCAAGGAGACATGACAGGGTAATCAAAAGGAAGCAGTGCAGCTACAGATAGGGCTCTGTACTGAGTAGCCACCCCTCAGCTGGGCCCCAAAACCACACACCTGTTCATAGAGGTGAAGTTTTCGAGCACGTTTAACCAGAGCGTCCTTGCTGCAGGGCAGGAATGAAGAGAGATAGGCATATACCCCAGAACGGATCTGGCTACTCAGCTCCCGAGTTTGCACCTCTATGCTGAAGAACAGAACAGAGTCATCAACGGCCTGCAGCTCACTGCAGCATCTCTCTTCACTAGATCCGCCTACATGGTGAGGCCAGCTAGGGGCCAAAAGCAGGTCCAACCTCATCCTGTTGGGCCACACTGCAACTGAGTGGCCAAGGCAACAAATCTTTGGCAATCAACAAACAATTCCCAAACTTGGCTAGGTAAAATGGGTTAAGGCTTTTCAGGTCAAGGACAGGACAAAGTCAAAGGCAGTCAAGAAAACAGAGCCCAAGAGAACAAGATCCACGTACAAAATTTCACAAACAAATATGACATAAAAGCTATCAAGTGGGAAGTAATGAGTTACTTGGGGTTGACAGGAAATACTTTCTGGCAGTGTTTCTTTTTTCCAGTTCCCAATTCTCTCCAAGACTATGAGGTCAAGGAAATCCTCACCCCCTCCACTTTCTCCAGCTGAATAAGCAGAAAAATATTCTCTTCAATGCCTTGAGCTTTCCATATTTGGCATGCTCAAGTGGGTTCCTTGTTGACACAAACCTCCCATCCACTCTGACCCTCAGGTGCTCTTTGTAGCCCATGATTCCTGACCCAAGTAGCCAGTCCAGATCTTGGCCAGGGCAAGGCCATTTGCTAGAACATTCCCAAGTCTTGACAACTATTCTTATATTAGCAAAATTTTCAGTTGTTGAGCAATAACCTTCTCCTGCTACATAATGCAACTGCAACCAGAGAAAAGCTGCAAACCTGAGGGCCAGGTACATTTAGATTTACGTTTGTTTGTTTGTTTTTGCTTTTTAATCCATTTCATACAGTGCAATGATTCGGGGGTTTCAAGGTTTGGAAGAAATGTGACAGGAATGAGGTACTCTGGCATTGAGAGCAGAGAAAGAAGAAAAGGAGAACAAATACTGAGGAACACTCCAATACAGAGCAGGCCCTGAGGCCACCACTCAACCTTCTGGATTCTCAGGGTCATGCAAGCAACCCCTTCTCTCTAGTCTCATCTCGCCCTTGACAAGAAGTCCTCTTCCAAAAGTCCAGGACTGTATATATAGTATCTAATAAAGCCTTTGGCTAAAGATTGGTAAGATCTATCATTCTTGGAGACAGGTATTTAGCGTCCCTGTTTTATTTAATGAACAACATCAATAAAACTATATTAACCCAAGTCCTCTAGTTCATTGCTGGTCAGCAATATTCCCATGCACTCCTGGCCTGCCCAACCCAGGCGTGTAACAGCAGATATGGACAGACAGACAGATGATACTCACTCTAGTAGGATGCCATTCATATCCTGGGTGAAGAACTTCTGTCTGCTCTCTCCCTCAGCAGCTCTGGCAGCCTGGTTCACAGCAGACAGTAACAGCCATTAGAACCTGTTCCCCACGCATCCCATACATACCCCCGCAGGCACCAGTCACTGCTCCATAAAAGCACCTGTCAATAAAATCCTCCCCAACACTTTCCTGAGTCTACCCAAGTCCCGGATTATGGTCACCTGTGATCAATGCTTTATTTTTTTCAAAGATGCTGCAGCATCTTGAACTGTACATCCCAGGACTTAAAACAGCAGTCACATAAAACAAAGCCACATAGAAACAAGCAATCCTGAGGCATCTGGTCAGAGGCCAACTCTATTAACTCCTGTGTCCAGACTCTATCATAAACTACACAGTTAGTTGAGATTTCCATACATTAACTTCAATAAACCTATAAGATAAAAGCTTTTATCCACCAAAAATAACAATAAAAATAATAATGTATAGCTTTAGCACCTAAGGTCATTATCATCTTTTGAAACTTCTATTCTACTTAGGGTATACACAAATTCTCCATCATCCAGATCACTGGAATGACATGCCATATTGCCTGATATGACAGGAATTTACTAGACTGTCTTCTTTTGCTTTCCATGAGAACACAGTTTATAACCTGGAGAGCAGCCTGGAGACCTCTAAAGTATCCTAATGGCAAACCATGCCTTGGTCAGAGAAGATGGCCCTCACAAGTAGCTCCATGTGGGAACCACCCATCAAACCACAATCTCTGGAGACAAGACTCAGGAATATGTATTCTTTAAAAGTAGCCCAATCAGTAGAACTCTTTAAATGTAACTCTGAGACCCAGTGATCTAAACAAAAGGGATGCTGATTTTCAGGTTGTAGGCAAAATAACAATTTTTGAAATCGGACATGATATGTAATAATGACAAACGGGTGATAAGGTGACTGTCGAGAGAAAGGGATAAATCCTGATCAAGCCTTCCACCTTCCTCTAATTGCACCTGCTGGGCCCTTCCAACCTGACTCCATCTGTCTGCCCACTAGCTCTTCCCTGTTGAAGGACTCCCAAGTTTCTACCTAGAACTCACTTCTTCCCATCATTTCTTTTCTCCTCATGTCTTCAAAATAATATACACACATGAAAGTCCCTCAAATCTAAACCTCTAGGGCTGGGGCTGTAGCTCAGTGGTAGAGCACCCGCCTTGCACATGTGAGGCACTAGATTTGATCCTCAGTACCACATAAGAATAAATAAAGATATTGTGTCCAACTACAACTAAGAAAAAAAATCTAAACCTCAAAACCCCTGTACCCTCTCTTCTAAGCTCTGAACTAGGATTTCCAATTACCCCTTCACAGCTTACCTAAAACTAGACCTGCCAGCTTTTGCTCAGACTCCTGCTTCCCTGCTTCTAACATCTGCACTCCAGCCTTCTTGAATCCTCCCATTCCTTCCTTCATAATCTTTCAGTGGCTTTGACCAACTCTAGACCCAAACCCAAATTCCTTCTCATGGCATGCAGGGYGCCCCAGCCATCCACTATGCCTCCCATCTCCTACCACACTCTAGAGGATTCCACCAACCAGCTGCTCACCCATCCTCAGCTCTGCCCTGCCTTCCCCACAGGTTGACCAACGTTGTAGCCTCCAGTCCCAGTCTTATGTACCCTCAAAGAGTTTCTCTTTTGATTCCTGATTGTCCACCTAGTCATCTAGTCAGCCATCTAAAAATGGCAGAGTGTTTCATCCTGCTCTGTGCTGCAGCCCACTGTCTGCATAGGTATCATCCATTTACATAACATGCTCATGAAGGACAAGAACTAACTCTCATTGGCCCATATATTCCTCACAGCTGCCTATCAAATAATATTTACTTAGTAAACATTGGGAAGTGGATGTATGGATGAACAAAGGAATGAACAGATACCACCATAGAAAGGCAAACTAGATGAGGAAAAGCCTAATGCTGTCTAACCAAAACTAACCTGAAGAGCTGCAAAATTCAAGTTTCTAAAGATGACTTGGTTGAAGGACAGCCCAGAGGCCTTGGATGAAAGGTGTGACAAGGATGGATGGATGATGGAAGAAAGAAAGGCATGGCTTTTAAACCAACCATGTGTAATTTCTTACACTTTCAGCATTCAGAATTTCACCTTAGAACTTTTAAGGTACTGCAATTACAACATTAGTTTAAGAAAATAGAAAAACTAAGGCATTCTTTTGATTCAACTACTGCTAGTTCTAAGATCCAGATCCTCAATTAATTCAATCTAATTCCTTCAACATGTATTTTAAAATGCCCCGCTGTTTGACAAACCCATCAACAGTCTTTTAAATAAAATTTGTCTTTATTTTAAATAAAGTTTATATTTCAGTATCAATCAACCTGTTCTCCAATACTTCAGAAGTTTTCTGCCTACATAGTCTTTAAAAAGATTTTCCTTCTGAACTGTCTTAATTGCATAGACTGTCCTCAGAGGGTCTGGTTTCATATTGAAGTTAATCAGTCAAACACTGCATTTTTAAATAAATTTAATTAAAAGCAACTGGATAGATATCTGATAGTCTATCAGAAATAAGTGAGGTCCCTTGCCCCTGAGATATTGTATAAATTAATCAATCCTAAATTAACTAGGAAATGAGGTTAAAGCAAACACTTTGGTCATGCTGACTTATAACAGTTCCAAGATATATATATATATATTTTTTTTAAACAGATGGGGGTCTTTCTATCTTGCTATGTTGCCCTAAACTCTTGGCCTCAAGTAATCTTCCTACATCAGCCTCCCAAATTAGCTGGACTATAAGCACATGTCACTGTGCCCAGCCTCCAAATGCCTTTTTAAAATTTTGTTGTTGTTGTTGATAGACCGTTATATTATTTATTTATATGCAGGATGAGGATTAGTCACAGTAGAGCACCCCTGGTTCAAGCTGGTTTTTTTCCTACCTTATTCTCTTTAAGTCCCTGTCTCCCTGGACTTCTGGGGATGCAAGGGTTGTAACTCAGTAGGAGGGTAAAGGTGTGGGTGCTCGGGACCTGTTTCCTTTCTGTTCTTAGTATCATTCCCACTTAATGCCTAACTAAAGAGGACCAAAGAAGACCTGGGTCATATGTAAGAACCAGGCTGAATAGTTGCCAAACTATATCAAGACAATAATCTGACGGGGTGTCAAAGTTGAGCTTTCTCAGCACTCTGTATGTTCCAACCATTTATACAAAAGACATCTGTAATCAACATGTTAATACAAGGCAAGACCATCAAATCACTATATTCCCTGGATCCAAAATGTACAAATGAATAGAAAATGAGAAATAAGCTAACACGAGAAAACAGTGAATATAACATGGACATCAATTAAGGCATCTCTCTTGGTGTACGTAAGTTTTCAATATTTTTTTTTAAGTTTCTCACTTAGAAAGTAAATCTACTTTTTGCTTTCTATAAAGAGTGTGTTTTTCCCTAAGAGATCACTACACATCAGAGTAGAATCTACTATGCACTGTGGAAGATTGCAAACAGGAGCACAGATTGCTCCCATGGAGAAATGCCCCCCAGAGAGCAGGCCCTAGGCTCCCCAACCCTTTAATCTTGGCTGCTCTTATGACTCACTTTGACCAAGAGTGTGGCAGAAGCAGTGTGACACATATAACCTGTAAAAGCCAGATCTTAYGGCCCTAAGAATTCCACTTCCACAAGATAAAAGGCCCAAAGGAAAGGGAGGTCTGGTCAGCACCCATTTAATTTACCAGCACCCAGTTAACCTGCCAGCTGAATGCACTGCAAGACTGAGCCATGCCAGGCATGGTGGCACAGGCCTGTAATCCCAACAATTTGAAAAGCTGACACAGGAAGATTGTGAGTTCAAGGGTATCTTCAACAATTGAGTGAGACCCTCAGCAGCATAGTGACATCCCTATCTCAAAATAAAAAAGAAAAAGGACTGGGGATGTAGCTCAGTTGTAAAGTACCCTGGGTTCAATCCCCAGTACCAAAGGGGTATTAAAAAAAAAAAAAAACCAAGAGTGAGACCAAGCAGGATCAGAAGAGAAACTACCCAGCCAGTCCACAATCAGGAGAAATGAATAACTGTCAAAGTTTTGAGGTCCTTTTTAAAAAGGCAATAGAAATGGATACATTATTACCTAGGGTCAAGATTTTAAATCTAACCAACTTATTATAAAAATAAACAAGGGGAAAAAAGAAAAATAAGGGGAGTGAAAAATAAAGTGAGAAACACATAACACTGCTAATGATAGTTATATACATCAAATTTAATTTAAAATTAATTTAAAACGCAATGTCTTTCAAAATCCAGGACAGAGTTCCTTATTAAGGATCCAAATATCCACATGCAACTTTTGGAATTGTATGCAGTTTTTGTGTACAAATGCCTTCTCTCCCTGGGAAGATTACCTTTCCCAGCAAATTCTCAATAGGGCCTGCAGTCCAGAGCATTTGTGTACACATGTGGGGGTTCCAGGTGCCCCAAGTGCAGGAGCCCTGCTGGAGTAACTTTCTATAATAAGCCTTCTTTTTAATGCAACCATTAAAAATAATGAGGGCTTTATAATAATATTTATTAAGTGAAAAAAATCATGAAACAATTATTCACAACTATAATCACAACTGCATAAAAACATATACAGAAGCTAGAAAGGAATATGCAAAGTGAAATTGTTTTTCAACTGGTGGGGTAATAGATAATCCCCACACACTTCCCACCCCATTTTCCAAAGTTTCTTAATGCAGGAGCAGGGCCAGGTGAAGATTGAAGTGTCAATTTCACCCTTGAGCACTGTATTTTCAAACCAGAATATCAAACTCTACGTTCAGCATCTCTAGGACCCAGGCCCACCTTGCCTACGGAATCCTGAACCCTTGTCTGTCATGCCCAAGAGCAATCACTCAAGAGGGAAGCTTGCCAGACAGGGGATCCACCAAGGGAGCTTTCTGGCATCACAGTCCCATGCTGTTTCAGGTTACGGCATTTTGTTCCACTTGATGTGCTCTGTGTTTCCCAAGAGATTGAAATAATAAGTAAGCACACTAGAACACAACCTATGGTGGGAATGAGGACATATCCAAGAATTCTATTTTGACTTTTCTCTAAAAAAACAACTGGCTACCATCACATAGTCCTTACTTATTTAACAAGACGTTCAGAAACTATAAAACAATTTGATTACAAACCATAGGAATGAAAAGAACAAAGTAATTTTTTTAACATGAATTCTGAGAGCAAATACAGGACAGTACACTCAAACATGCCAAGTTCAGGTTCAACTCCTTCCACCTCAATGTCATATTTAAGATACACTCTGAATCCCTGACATGGCACAATTCATTTAAATCATTACATTCAAATAAAACACTTATGCCCAACACTGCACGCAAGCTAAAAAGGATGAACTAGAGATTTCAATAAGATGTTTATTTGCTTTGTATACTATGTTCAAATATTTTCTGGAAGTGAGAAAATCATTTATAGAGGTGGTTGACATTTCACCTGCCCTGAACATAAAGGATAAATACATAGCATTGATTCTGATATGCTATGAGAATCACTAGTTCAGAACTACAGGTATTGAGTACAAACACCACTGGAACTGCAGTACAAACCACAATGCCTAAGGTAAAATGTTATTTTAACTAAAAGGTATTGTCATCATTAACTAATGATCCATGCTTGGTTCTAGTTAGTATCACTGAATTGACAGTCTCAGCACTTAGGGATGAATTCCAAATCCATAGAGAACAGGAGCAGCAACAGTTGATCTATGCTAAAGGTTGCTGCTGCTGCTAAGGGGCACAAACAACATTCAAGTTAAGCTCCTTTTTACTTAGCACCAAGGAGGCATTCCTGTGATTGCTACCAACACGGATGCTGACAATAAGCAATGCGAGGGAGCAACCAAAACCCAGTGACAATTGAGCATATGCTCTATGTGTAACTTACATGTTTACAAACTTTAGTGCATTTTCAAAAGTTAATAAGATGAATCTCTCACTCAGCTGCCTGATGTCAACATCAGTGTTGGTCTATGCACAAAAAGGAAATACTGTGTGTTCCCACACAGTATTCCAGAAACTAACAGGTAGAAAAAGGAAAGAGAAAAATCTCTCAGGAAGAAAATAAATTATTTGGAAGAGAAAGAACCAAGAAAGGCTTAAATGTGAAGCCTGATGTGCAAAGCTGACACTGTTTTCCTCACTCAGGAGGAGGAGAGGTTGGGGAAAGCTCATACTTTCACTGCCAACTCACTAAGGATTTCTTTGGGCATCGAGCTTCACGCCGTGCAGAACCAACACCAATCTGCCCGACCGCTTCCAGGAAAGCCCGGCCACACTGTGTCACCATACCTGAGCCAGCTCCTTAATGCGCTTCTCCAGGGGTGCTGGCAGGCCTTCGGGGAGGGAAGAGGGCTGCCTGAATTCCTGGTCCAATCCCACCCCAAGGGAATCGCTTCCATCATCCATATCTTGGAAAGGGCTTCCTTCTGGAGACTCACTGAGCAGCTGCTCCAAGTCCAAATCTGTCAGTGAGTCCATGGCAGTGGCCACCTGGAGCAAGTCATTGTCAGAAGTGGAGCCAAAGAGTGAGAGCAAGGGGTCAGAAGCACCCTCCAAGTCCCGCAGGCCCTGAGCTTCCACTGATGAGACCACTACAGGCTTATGCTCCTCCTCTCTCTTTTTCTGAGCCTCTTTCTCCTTCTGAAATTTCTTTAGCATCTCTTTAACACTTAAAGCCCCAGAGTATTTCTTCTTCTTCTTTTCCTTACTGGCATTGAGGGCTGTGAAGCTGTAAGCAAGAAAGAAACTGGTTACCCAGGCTGTAGGACCACTCCACAGGGAAACTCAAGAGGCCTTCACCCCTGTCCCAGGGCAATGGTCTCCAGAAGAACCTCAGTCACAGTCCACCCTGTTATTATTCCTCCCTCCTCTTGGCATATGAAGCTCGTTCTTGCTGGACCAAAGCTTAAGAGTGAATACAGGTTAGCAACACAGAGTCACGTAATGCTAAATATCCAACGGGTTTTTAAGAACCACTGCCAGGCTGAAATAAAAGGTTGCAAAAAAAGGGGAGGCACAAGAAAAGTATTTAAAGGGAGAAAGCAGGAGCAGCAGAGAACAGCAGCAACTTGAAGGCAGCTGGGGTAAGACCAAGTGAAGAAAAGGAAGCGTGACCATAGAAGACAAAGGGAAACAGCAGAGACAGAAGAATTGGGGCAGAGAGAAAAGTGCCCAAAAGAACAAGGAACGTCAGCAATAACATAGTCACAGAAATAGCTGCCAACACTGACAGGGGAACAGAGGAACGCTGGCTATCTGACACACAAGAGATGAGAGCATCTACGACTATGCCCAGATCAGCCCTGTGGGAGGTGAGAGGGAGGACAGGAGGGCCAGGCCCTGCTGCCTCTTCTGAAGCTGTGGGGGAGGTGAGTCAGCTCCTGGGTGTCCTGCCCTCACGGGTCAGACTTTTTAGCGAAAAGCTGCTGCCTCTCACCCGGCTTTGGAAAACTTGGACTTTTTCGATTTCTTCTCCTTGTCATAAGTGTCATCTTTTTTCTTCTTCTTTATCTTCTCACCACCTTCCTTCAACTTCCGCTTCTGAGAATCAAAGACAAGGCACAGTTACACAGCTCCCTGACTCAGGGAGCAAGTGCACTCACTACATGGCACTGGCCTTGCTCCGCCCAGGCACATCCTGAGACCTGTCTTTCTTCCTTCATGAACAAAAAGCTCTCAGAGCAGTCCCTGGACCACAAACCCATAGCATTCCCACCAGAGTGTGTCCTGGAAACACCCAGAGGGGAGACAACAGTGTCTCTCTGAAGCCTGAAACTGTGCTCATTTGGAATGGGCTGAGGTGAGCCCTATCTCTTGTTTTACACAATGGGCAATGCCAGACAGACCCTACAATATTCTTAGCCTAAGGGTGGCTTGTTTTCAGTGGGTGACACCCTGGGAACTGAAGTCCTCTACACATCCACAGAAGAGGGCCAAGCAAGGGTGCTGCACATGCCTCATTCCACACCCTCACCGCTCCCATCACCACCCCAAAGCCACCTCAACACACAACTCTGCTGAGCTTGCTGGGGCATCCATGACAAACATGATGACTGAGGGCTGACGGAGGCCCATTCCACATCGCCTTGGCACAGTTCAGCCTTTCCACCAGCCTCCTGAGCCATCCCAAATCGTCGCACACTTTGGAGTCACCCACTTATCTTACAGGGTCATGTAAAAAAAATTTCTGAAATCCAAAAGCAAGCATGTTCTAACCTTTGGAGATTTTTTCTTCTTTTCTTTAATGAAATCATCCTCAGATTCAGATGCTTGTCTAAATTGCAGAGTTCCTGAGTTAATGTAAAATCCTCCATACTTTGTGGTCAAAGAAGCAGGAACAAGCTCATCATACTGAAGGGGAAAAACATACTGTCAGCTCCAAGTTCTGTTTCTAAGGTCCAAAGGCATAAAGCAGGTCTGAAGAGATGTAAATGTGCTTCTTCTTCTGTCATACTTCAGACAGTATGGGAAGATAGCCCTCTCTCTCCCACCAATCACAGATGTGAGAGCTTCAAAGTGTGATGGACAGAGTAGTCATATTTCTCAGATGAGGGCACCAAGGCCCAGGTCCAAGAGGACACTTCCTCTCACATCAGTGCTGCTCATTCCTCTCACTGAGAGCATGCTGTTCTGACTCTGTCCCCAGCTTCCCAGACACAACCTGAAGAAGCTAAGACGTGAAGGGTTTTTTTTTTTTTTTTTTTAATATATATATATTTTAGGTGTAGATGGACACAACACAATGCCTTTATTTTTATGTGGTGCTGAGGATCGAACCTGGGTCCTGCCCGTGCTAGGTGAGTGCTCTACCGCTGAGCCACAATCCCAGCCCGATGTGGAGGTTTGATATTGCATTTTCATTAATAACTCACCGCCTCAGAGTTATCGATGAAGGAATCAGATTCGTCATAACCATACCCCATGTCAATCAAGTCCTGTATTCGGTCTTTTCTACGTTTCTTTCCGCCCTAAAATTTAAAAGCAATAAGTCACATTTTTTTTTTTTTTAATTTTAGTTATTGGCGGACACACATCTTTGTTGGTATGTGGTGCTGAGGATCGAACCCGGGCTGCACGCATGCCAGGCGAGCACGCTACCGCTTGAGCCACATCCCCAGCCCGGTCACATATTTTTTGATAAGCACATAGAATTAAATATTGTCTTTGAGCTTCATCAGCTGGTGATTAAAAGTGGTAAAGCACTGGGTCTTTCTCATCCCCCCTCAAAACCTCATTCTCCAAAGACCTGAAAATTTGTATTTGCATAAAATAGTCTAAGACAGAAGAATGAACTAAATGGCTTCTATGCTTCATGCCAAGACACTTCCTCTAAGGAAATGTTCATTGGCCCATTTAGCTCACATACTAGCTCCTGTCATATGAGATTTCTATACCTTAGTGCATTTGTTTAATAACTGCATTCTGTTTTCTCTGAGTTCTATACTTATTTCCAGATCATTGTTGATTATTTCATAATCCACTAAAGAAACATGCCATTTCCATCTAATGAGAATATCTGGTTGCCCAAGAGAGAAATCTTACATATTTTTCTTCAAATTTCCGTGCAAGGGCTTCCACTTTATGCCTTTCCTTTTCTTCATCATTAAAAGGATCTGAGAGATCTTTCTTCTGCAAAGAGATCATTTCACAAAAAGTAAGAATTAGCAAAAAAAATATTAGTTGATTCATAAAACCTTCACTGACTACTCAAAACCTATACATAACAAAATCTATTTTTCAGAAAAGACAAGGTAGAATACATGCTACCATCTTGTCAATGTTTACCTTGTTTAAAAAAGGAACCCTTTTATTCATGTAATTCAACAAAATTTGATTAAGTGCCTACAATCATCCATCTAGCGCTAGAGACACAGCAAAGGACCTTTAGATGGGGATGCTCAACCTCTACAGAACTGCATGCAATACAGGTGACCATCTTTATAACCCTGCAGTTTATTTTATGCACTTGAAAATGTACTAAGAAGAGGTCCACAGGMTTCACCAGAATTTCAAAGTAGTCAATGGCCCAAGAATGCAGCACAACTTCTGGAGAGCTGTTTAGCAAAGTGGTCAGAAATGCACTTTTCCCAGAGACACCAAAGTCAAACCTGGTTCCCCTGTCTTTAGAAGTTTATCTGCAAGGGTCCATCATCTCTCCTTGTCCTTCAATTCAATACTCACTCAAAATATTTTCAAGCAGTATACTTTTACTCTATAAGCTTATCCTKGCATTTTTCTCATCAAGTAAATTTTCCACAGTTGAGTCTTTTGTGTTTTGGGCAAATATATATTAACTTTAATAAAAGACTCCTGTACTAAATATGCTTTAAAACTTCAGAGTAAACCAAACCACTAAGACTTGCAAACACTAATGCTGCATGAAAAAAAAACTCTTATTCCACCCTCCCATCTCTGCGTACTGAAACTTACACACTCATAAATGATCTGTTAAGGGGACTGGGGTTGTAGCTCAGTGGTAGAGCACTTGCCTGGCATGTGTGAAGCACTGGGTTCAATCCTCAGCACCACATAAATATAAATAAATAAAATGAAGGTGCTGTGACCATCCACAACTAAAACCTACTAAAAAGTAAAATAAAATAAATGATCTGTTAAATGACTTTCAACTATGTATGTAAAATGGAATATTACACTATATACAACATACATACCACAAATGGGTAGCTATTAAAATGTGGTTGTTTATATCATCAACTTTTTCTACAATGGTCCCATATAACTTGGGTAGTTAAAATAATTTTAAGAAATCCCACCAATCTTGATTGAAAACCAATGAAGTCAAGGTGTGCTCCTTAATGCTTTGTGAATAACAGTCTTCCAGTGACTATTTCCAAGCATAATAAAGATCCAGCTCTGTCCAAAATGGCATCCTGGATGTGAGTTCTTCTCTGCCCAAGTCCTCTGGCCTGTGTTTGTAGCCAGCTTAAACAATCATCACATTGTAACTTGTTACCTGTGCTGGTACAATTCTCCTAAAACATCTACAAGATTGCAAGTTCCTTTAAAGCTGGGACAGTGTCTTCCCTAACTTTGTATAATCCTCAGTGTCTAGCAGAGAGCTTTCATGTTATAAGGAATACAAGCTAGACCCATAAACAAATGTGTCAAATTATATTATACATTTTTTTCTTTTGTGGTGCTGGGGAAAACACACACACACACACACACACACACACACACACACACACACACAAGCTTGATCTACCACTGACCCATACATACTCCAGCCCAGGTTATATTATACTTTAACACTACAGAGCAGAACAATAATGACTCAGAAGTCCTAAAACTTTAGTCCAGGAATAAATCCACTAAAACTGGATCCAAATTTCTCTGTGTATGCTCCATACATTTTTCTGCAATGGAGAAAATCATTTGGAGCCCACCAAAAAAGTGGGCTCCAAGGACTGGAGTTCTAATTTCAGTTGACCTACCAATCTGGTTTGACCCCATGTTAACCAACTCCTGCCACTGGTTGTTCCTCTTAATGAAGAGGATACCAATCCTACTTTGGAAAAGAGACAGTGAACAGATTTGAAGTAATTTCCTTTTATTCTGCCCACTGACCCTTATATAACAGGTAACCCTTGGTACAGATTCATTAGGTTCCATTCAGCCAATAAGATCTCAATCAAGGAAATACATTTTTTAAGCAAAAAAAAAAAAAAAAGTGAGTAATGCTACTAACCAAACGTACTTCCTCCAATCAGTCCAAACATGAATTAGACTGAGTGAGCACTTAGCACTGAGGCACTGGGCTAGAAACTTCGCCAACATGATCTTAGATACCTTGTGAGCTAGGCACTGGCCTTGTCTTCATTTTATCAAGAGCCACTTAAGAGACCGGAATGATGCAAGTGTACAGTCCTGACCTTTTCCTCAGAACCTAGCACAGTGCACTGGAAATACAGTAGGAGTTTTAAAATGTTCTTCACTCAAGCTCCTACTCACACTATATGATTCTATCTACACAAAAATACAAAAACATGCAAAAGTGACCTTAGCTACTGGGGGTTGCCCTTGAGGGTCAGGGTGGTGCACTGCTGAAGGCAGGAGGGTTTCTAGCAAATGTTTGTAGTAAATGTTACATCTTGTGATCTGGGTGCAGGTTCCACAGTGTTGAGTTTGTGAAAATCCATCAAGCTGTGCATTTATCATAAGTGCATTGTTCTTAAATACATGACTCAAATAAAATTTATAAAAACTTTCTGAAATGTCAATGAATTGCCAAAACCATGATAATAGTTGAAGCCAGGCGATGGGCTCTGCTCTCCACTTTTATGCCTGTTTAAAAGCTCCATACTAAGGGTGGGGGTTGTGACTCAGTGGCAGAGTGCTTGCTTCACACATGTGAGGCAGTGGGTTCAATCCTCAGCACCACATAAATAAGTAAACAAAATAAAGATATTGTGTCTATCCATAACTAAAAATTTAAAGCTCCATAGTAAAAAGTAAACTAATTTGCTAGGAAAATAAATAGATAATTTAAAAAACATTTAAGAAATCAAATTGATTTTTAAACACCCTGAAAGCTACAAGCCAATTCTGGCAAAAAATAAGTTAAAAAGGGTATATGTGTATCTATGTGTGTGTGTGTGTGTGTGTGCGCGCGCGCGGCGCGCACGTGTATGTATATGTATAAATATATTCCTACCCATTCAAGAAACTACCCAGAATATTACTGTTTAAAAGAGATGAGCAGCAGTCTGTGTATTTTCTTTGTCCTTGCACTAGACAGGGAAAGTCCCTTGGCAAAGGGAAATGTCCAGCATAGAATTCTAGCACCACAACAGCCAAAGAACTGGTCTCTCTTACATGTTACATTTACAACCTCATTATGAAAAAAATTATTGTTTCTTTTATTTATATTAGTTATCCATAATTCAAATTAGCCTTAGATGAGCCATATATGTTTCTCTAGCATAAATCAGGAAAATGATGCTAGAAGAATTCTCTTCCTTCATGATCAGTAGTAAGACCAGCTAATCTTGTAGGTGCTTTCCATGACTGATGTGCCCTTATCCACATCTCTCTAGCCTCACTTCTCACTTCCCTACTGGGAAGGCCCATGTGCACACAGTGACACTTTCATGTTAGGTCTGCAGAGCAACTGTATGGATGTTAGAGTGTACCTTATCTCCAGATTGAAGGCCTTTCACCTTTCCTCGTATATTCTTCACCAGCTCTGGGTAGAAGAACTCGGGGCAGCGTTTGTGATCTGGTTCAAAGAGGGTGAGTGTAATTCGAACAGCTGCCGCGGCTGGCTCACAATCCTGATGCTGTTCTGCTCCCCCAACCTCCTCTTTCCGGGACTTCTTCAAAAATGCAGGATTCAGAGAACCTGGGAGAGAGGTGAACTGGACCCTGTGGGGCTCCGACATGGCTACCAACAAGTCTTAGCAGGTGTCACTGCATGGCTTCTGTTAACATTGAAAAGAAGGGCCAGGTCAAACCAAGATGATAAAAACAAACACTTCCTTTATAGATTTAAGTTTAAAATAATTTCACTATCAAGAAGAATCCATTGTTAAATTTATTTCTGTTGCTATTTATTGTTCTTTTTCTGCTTAAGTAATACTCATTCTAAATATAATTTTTTTCATAACTATATGAAAATCACCTCAAATCCCATGATCCAGATCAAAAGATGGTAGAATGATGCAGTTAAAACTTTTATCCCATACAATTCCTCCCATTTCTTTTTATGCCTACAATTTCTTTTTATGCCTTCTCCAATCAGATCTTATATAAGATTCCCCTGATAAGTCCTTCATATATACATTTTTCACATGTAACTCCTTAACCCAAGTTGAACTTACAATGCTATAAGGCATGAGGACAGGCTCTAACTTGGTTTCTCCCCAGCATCAATCACTAAATAATCTTCTTTTCCCCTTGCTGATTGGCATATATCATCGAGTAAAGCCTCAGATATCTATGGTCTAATTCTGAAAGCCATCTGTTATATTAATCTAGTACTTAGAGATTTTTAACCAAATCAATAGCAAAGTTTCAAAAAGTTTTCTGGCATGTTTTAATTTCTTGAATTAAAAGTTCATCCTTATTGTCTTTTAAAAATAATATTTGGCTTTTCCAGCCTGTTTATTATTTCAGTTCAATTTTAGAATCATTTTGGCAAGTTCTCCCAGAAGGCTCACTATACTTTGATTGTAAATGAAACACAAATACGAATTAATTCAGGGAGATTTGTATATATTCTCATACATGTAGATGTATTAGTACATATCCAGTATCCAATCTTTTCATTATAATCGTAAAATTGTGATCTAAGACCAGACAAGGGAGAAAAATATCTAACAACTATAAGAGTTAAAATCTTTCTAATCAGGCAGCAAAGTGACTGGCAGTGAAACAGGTTGGCCAGTGTGCAGACCACTTACTAATGTGTACAAAGATGCTGAAAGAGAATCCCCCAAACACATACACTTCCAAAGAAACATTCACGGCTCTTGGGATATGTGTGACACACTGGACTGTGAAAATAAATCCAGCTGAAAGCTGAAGGCTTACAGGTCTCCCACTGAGAGAGCAGACACATCCCACTGTAAGAAGAGAATCAGCAGGATGTTCAACAGGAGGAAGAAAGGCCATCCTTAGCTGGGCACAGGGGCACACAACTGTAATCCCAGCAGCTCAGGGGCAAGGCAGGAGGGTCAGGAGTTCAAAGCCAGCCTCAGCAACTTAGCAAGGCCCTAAGCAACTTAGACCCTGTCTCAAAATAAAATATAAATATGGCTGGGGATGTGACTCAGTGGTTAAGCATCCCTGGGTTCAATCCACAGTACCAAAAAGAAAAAGAAAGGCCATACTAGAGATGGTAACCAGATCCTAATGTCCCTGTACAGCTGGTAATTTAAAAATATAACCTCATTTCATTCCAAGTTGAGACTGCAACTTCAATCCACCTAGACCTTAAAACTGCTCCTCTTAAGTTGCAAAAGCAACTGTGCAAGTGTAAGACAGTATAAAAGCAGGACTATACTGGCTGGGATGTAGCTCAGTTATAGAGTGCTTGCCCAGCATGCACAAGGCCGTGGGTTTGATCCCCAGCCCTGCAAAGAAAATTAAAAGAAAGAAGAAAATATATAAAACCAGAGGACAAAGTAAATCAACCTATTGTATATTAACACAAGTTAGACTTGTGGTTAAGTTTTATAATCACCATAATATGCTATCATTTGTCCTAAGTCATTTGAAACATTTAAGAGAATCACATATATCCCCACCCCCCAGTACTGGGGATCCAACCCAGGAGAGCTTTACCACTGAGCTACATCATCAACTCTTTGAGTCAGGGTCTCACTAAAGTTCCAAACTTGTGACTCTCCTGCCTCAGCCTCCTAAGTCACTGGGATTACAATCAAGCACTATTGGGCTGGGGATGTGGCTSAAGCGGTAGCGCGCTCGCCTGGCATGCGTGTGGCCCGGGTTCGATCCTCAGCACCACATACCAACAAAGATGTTGTGTCCGCCGAGAACTAAAAAATAAATGTTAAAAAAAAAAATTCTCTCTCTCTCTCTCTCTCTCTCTTTAAAAAAAAAAAAAAATCATGCACTATTGCACCTGGCAAGTACCAGATATATTAAAGAAGGACATGTTAGATTTACAATCTTAATTTGAACTGTTTAACAAAATTAACTTCTATGTACTCATGTTTTAAAAAACCTGACTTACATTTACATGTTTAGACTTAACAAATGTTAAGTTCTTGGAAAGACTGTACTATTAGATTTACAAGTTCATCTCTTTTGAAATTTGAAATATTTGAAAGTATAAAAATATTAAATGCCATTTATAACATTTAAGGGAACCGGAGCACAGTTGCTCATGACTATAATCCCAGCAACTCAAGAGGCTAAGGCAAGAAGATGACAAATTCAAGGCCAGCATAGACAACTTAGCAAGACCGTGTCTCAAAATACAAAATAAAAAGAACTGAGGACATACCTCACTGGCACAGTGTCCCTGGGTTCAATCCCCAATACCACCAAAAAAGAAAAAAAATAAGGGAATTTAATTAACCTGGTAAAAACAGTTAATTGCTTAAGGGAATTTAATGTTAAACTGGTGCCTTAATTGAACCTTACTAAAAAATCAAATATTCTTGCTTTTACATGAATATTCTTAGATTTATAAATAAAACAAACCAACATTTGTAAGTAAAACTTAGTCTTAAAAATAGCTAAGTTTTAAAACATTCAACTTTAATGAGTTTAAAATTATTCTTAGTATTCTATCCCCAAAATCATTTCTCTTAAAAGACTTCAACTGGAAAAAAAAAAGTCTTCAACTGATTATGCAAAACAATGGTAGCCTCCTTTGCATCTCAGGTTATTCCCAGGAACTATATATATATATATATATATATTGTTATTATAAATATATACTTTTTAACCATTCTGGTTTCAAACTGGTTATTGATAAAACAGAAAGATTAATTTGTTTATGCTAATTTTGTAATTAACCCCTTTACTGAGTTTAGTGTGGGTTTTTGTTTGTTTGTTTCCCCAAAATAGCAGTACTGTCATCCACAGAAATGATCATTGTCTTTCCTTTTCTGGAAAACTGCACTGATCTTTGTTTCATGTCTTATTGCATTGGCTAGAACTTCTAGGGTATCAGACAACATATTTTTTGCAATGTTCCTGCAAAGAATGGGAATGCGTATAGTTTAATTGTAAAACTGATTCACATTTTTATTGTCATTACTATAACTTCAATTCCTCAAAAGTTCAAATTTCTAAAAAAGAAAACACGTGCTCGATTTTATTAGATTATTTCCCACAATCTTAAATATGCTTTAAACAATCAGTTAAGAACATACACACACTGTGAATTCATCGCAGTCCCTACAAATAATGCACGGTACTTCATCGAAACTGGTCTCCAAAGAGACATCAGGTTCCGGGACAACCCAGCAAGCGCAAACACCCTCACCATCAAAGCCTCTGCACAGCACATGGCCCACGGGAAATGCGGGTGGATCTGCCACCTTTACAAGCAGGCATTTGGCTCAGGAAGAGTGGGGCTCTATGGCAGTCCACCTGGACTCGGGCTGCAGGGACTCTGTTGTAAAGAGCCACGCCGCTACCTGTCTACGGAAGTTTAGGCAGGCGCCCAGCTCGACCGCGGCTAACAGTCCCTCCGCGCAGGCAGCTGACTTCCTGCTGTCACAACTTCTTGCAAAGTGTCAAACTACACCAAGGCTAACGCGGGAGCCCAGCACCGACAACCACACGCACCTTTGTCCCCAGCGCCGACGCGGGCCGCGGACGTCCCCCCGCGGCGGTCCTCATGCCGGCCCAGATTCCGGGCTGCCGCGCGGCTAGCGGCCGGCTCCCGAGCCTTGTTTGCGGGCGGCCGGCCAGCCGGTGCCGCGGCCCATGACCGGTTCCCCGCTCCGGGGCCTCGTCAGCCGCGCCGCGCGCCGGCCAGAAGGCACGGAGGAATGCCAACTCCACGTCCCAGAGGCAACTCGCGGGACGACGAGGGGGCGGCCACCGGGCGCGCCGGCAGGAATGCGGCGCGGACCCGCCGCTCCGACGCTGCTCCGGGAGCCGGCCGTCCACTGGAGCACTTCGCAGAAACCGGCGGCGGCAGCGGGCGAGCGCGGACTCCGGGGGCCCGGGCCTCTCGGGCTGCGGTCAGCGGAGCCCGCCGGGCGCAGGGCCCCAGGCTTGGCGCAGGCTGACTTCCAGGCCTCGCCGAGGTCCGTCAGAGCGGCTCGCGGGCTCAGCGACGGGATCGGCAGGCGCCGAGGGCTCGGGGATGGCCCGCGGCCCGCGCCCGACTAACGGCCGTAACGGAAGCGCCGAAGGGGCGGGGGACTGAGTCCAGCGCCCGGGGGCGGGGCGGATCGCGAGACCGGCTCCCTCCCGCGCTCCGCCGGCCGCACTGTCGCCGCCGCCGCCGCCTCAAACCGCGGACGCTTCGTTGTCACGAGCCCGAGGGAGGGGGAAGGAGCCGGGAGTCTCCAGGCTCCGGCGCGGGGAGACCGCGGCACTCTAGTCACGTGCCTCCCTTCCGACCAATGACCGTGGGCAGGCGCGGTGACGTCAGAGCAGCGGCGTGGCCGATGACAGCCGGCCCCGTCACGTGGTCGGGCCGACTCCAATGGGCGGCGCCGAGGCGACCTGAAGTTCCCGGCGGCCCGTGCGACGGCGGTGGTTGGGTGGTAAGATGGCGGCTGTGAGTCTGCGGCTCGGCGACTTGGTGTGGTAAGTCCAGGCGGCTGGGGCCAAGCGAGATGCGCCGCGGAGTGGCCTCCCGGGGCGCGAGATTCGCGGCCAGCCCCGGAGCTGCCCTTCTGCGCAGTCCTGACGGCGGAGGGAGGGAAAGACGGGGTGCTGGCGCTGCGAACGACGCTGGGCGGAAGGGGCAGTCCGGCCCCGAGGGACCGAGGCCGAGGGTGGCCGCGGCGGGCCCAGCTCTGAGCCCCGAGGCCGCCCCGGGGCGCGCCGCGCTTGGAGCCGAGCGACCGGCACAGGTAGCCCCCTGGCGCCGCGCGGCTCCCGAGGACACTGTGTCCCCGGGGTCTTGCTGGGGCTCCAGGGAGAGGGGAGAGCCAGGGAACCCGCGGGGCCATCTCGCCGGGGCAGGCGGGTCAACTCCCGCGTAGTGACGAGACCTTCCAGTGCGGGCGGCTCGGCCCGGGGTGTCGAAACCGATTGCTGGCGCTGCCCAGTGAGGAAATGGACAGGGGACTTCTCCTTTACAACCGATGGCTTGGTAGTGACCGGTGCCTCTCGTGGTCTGCTTCTGTGTCCCCGACAACCGCCCGAACCGAGACTGACCGTGGTCGCCCTGCTCGAGCTGCGTAGTTTGTGTGGACCCGGAGACCGGCTCCCGCGGGCGGTGGTCAGAGCCGGCTCGGTGCCTGGTGAATGAAGGCACGTCCGTGGGGACGGAGAAACCGCCCCAGCCCGGCACCGGAGGGCACGGGAGGCTCCCCTCGAGCCGCTCCCGACGGTTTGGTTGTTCAGTGTTCCTTGTCAGCCCGAGAAGGCACGGGTCTCTCTCTCACACTCACACACACACACACACACACACACACACACACACACACACACACGGTGTTTCATTCCAGGTCCAGGGTCTCGGCCCAGCTGTGAAACCAGGTTAAGGACCCTGGTTTCCCGGCTTTTGTCTGGCACTTGAGGATGCCAGCCGAGATTGAGAAGCATAAATTGCATGTTGAGTGGCTTGAAGGAGAGGGACTGGCTTTTCCAGAGCAAGTGCTGACTCTTTGTGTTTTCTCTAGGGGGAAACTCGGCCGGTATCCTCCTTGGCCGGGAAAGGTGAGTGTTTTGCTCTTCAAAGGATGATATCTAAAGTTGGGTTTGAGGAGGTGGAAAATGTAAAGTGCATTTCCCTCAGTTTCTAACACTGAGTGAAACTGGGCCCATTCAGATAACACTCATATTCTGTAGTTTCAGTTATTTTTTAAAAAGGCAATACAATATGAACCAGATCATTTAATCTGCAGTAATTGCTTATTTCTTGAATCAGAGTTAGTTTATGAAATTTGTTGTTAACCCTGGGAATCAATTCTAATTTCAGCATATTTTAGATTTATGCTGAAATCTAACAAAAGAAGAAAATAAATTCTCCAGGAAGAGAGAAGTCTAAATGTAGGTTAGTGAAAAGCCAAAGTATTTTTGTCCCGACTAAGTTTAAATCTTCTTCCCCTGTTACCATATGTGCTGCTCCAGTGCATCTTTGCAGAAGTTGGCATTCCACATTTTGCATGAGGTGATCCATCATAGCTTTCCAAGTGTTCTGTTTTTATATTCTTGCTTGGAATCCAGGAAATGTCTTTAGACTTTGCAATATGGTGTTTTCTGTGCCTCAGTTGTTCTTTATTTTCACCATTTCATGTTTCAACTCTTTGTGCACCAGAAGTATTTTGAAGAATATTTCTTAAGTAATGACATTGACACATTGAGGGGAAGTGATATTATCTTAGTTTCAACTGCTTGTATAACAGAACCATTGCAGTAAAAGGGATATTGTATCTACTGAGCACTGCTACATGTTAGCTACAGGGAATTTCCAGAATATTTGTACATTTCCACATATCTCAACTGGAAAGTGCCAGACATGAACAAGTTCTAGGCCATATATATATTCACATTCCTATTCTTTCCCCATGCCCCTTTAACAACTTAGAGCTGTAGAAACTTTTCTAGTGGGGTGCCATATTGCTATCAAGTCTTTTTTTTTTCCCCCCTTTTATCCTCTAGATTGTTAATCCACCCAAGGACTTGAAGAAACCACGTGGAAAGAAATGTTTCTTTGTGAAGTTTTTTGGAACAGAAGATCAGTGAGTGGTATTCATCAAGTATTCATGTTGTCGTTGTCTTTGGGCATTTCCCTGAGTCTGAACTGCCAAAAGAATATTCTGAGGATCCTTAGTTCAGGCTTCTTATAGTACATAAGAATGGCACATCATCTGGCTTCATGCCTAAATAAAATGTGCTGTTCTCATCTTGCAGAAATTGTCCTGGGGCCAAAAGCAGTGTCAGTCAGGTAAGAACTAGGCTTCATGATCAGAAGTAAGAACTTCTACTTAAGATAGTTTCTCACATCTTTCTTTACCAACTCCATTGGCACTTCCTTTTTTTTTTAATATTTATTTTAGTTTTAGGTGGATACTGTATCTTTTTTTTAATATCTTTATTAATTTATTTTTATGTAGTACTGAGGATTGAACCCACTGCCTCACACATGCAAGCCAAGCGCTCTACCACTGAGCTACAGCCCCAGTCCCAGACACTATAACTTTATTTTATTTTTATGTGGTACTGAGGATCAAACCCAGTGCCTTATGCATGCTAGGTGAGCACTCTACCACTGAGCCACAACCCCAGCCCCTGCAGTTTCTTTTATAAGAGCCATGTTTGCTTCTCTTTTAGTGGGCATATATCATTAAAATTTATTCATGAAGTCTATAGTAAAAGCTAAAATTTGTTATCTTAATAAATGTACTTGTTTAATTTTTTTCTCTTTTGCAGTAGTAATACTCTGACATTGTAATAGTAAAGCTCAAGTAAAGGGATCCAGGACCATTAATTGTAGATTCTTTGGCTTAAGGTCATATAAGAAGTCACAATGAAGGGAACAATGTGTATTAACTTGAATTTCCAGCAATTTTTTTTTTAGTTTTGTCAACACTACATCAAGTTGATTATCTGTATCTAGCTAGCTTGCTTGATTTTTTTTTAAAGTAGTTGTATTTCTATTTGATTCTTATAGGAAAATGTAACTCTGGGTTTGAAAAAAAAAGGTCTGACTTTTTTGATAAATCTGACATTGATGGTTAAAATATTTATTCTTAGAAAGCAATATATAATATTACATATGAAAATCCCTTATGAACAGTATGCTTTCCTCATTCAGGAGTTTATACATCAGTGCTCTTCCGGGTTTCACATTTGCCTAGTTTGTTGACCTTCATGATACTGATAAACTCCGCCCCCAATTCTCTGTCACAAACCAATTTACCAGCCTTCTGGTGGCAGTATTTCCAGGAGTTACTAGCTTTGAGCTGTGAGAGGAGAACCTGTGAAAGAGGGAACATTCTAATTCCCTAAAGAAGAATGTCCTGGTGAGATTGACACTGAAGGAACTCCAAGGAAAGTGAATGTTGTGGTCCCTGCCTTTCAGATACTTGGTTGTGATAAGACTTAAATAGTTCAGATAAAATTATGTGCAGAGTTAGTGATGCAGGTAATTATGAAAGGCTTCTGGAAGAGGGAGAGGTGAAAACAATGAGGTCCAGGAAGACTGATGGAAGAAACAAGCCACAAATCCAGTTCTGTAAGATGAATACTGTTTGGGTGGGCAGAAACAACAAGGGTAGTTCAGGCAGTGGACATACTGCTAAGCAGACTGGCCTGAGAAGGAAGAAGCTCCCTGCCTAGGGTAACTGGAGCTTGGGAGTAATTGAGGCAATATACTTGGCTAAATCTGGTTGACTCAATGAAGAATTACACGTTTCTGAAACAAAATGGGAACTCAGCCAGATTATAGAGGGCCTGCAAGCCATGATTTGATAATTTTTTTATTGTTGAAATGCTAGATGAATAAACTACAATCCCTATGTAAGAAATGAGACCTAGGAAATTGGAGTTGAGTGAACTTGAGTGCTCAGCCAAGCACACAGGTGCAGCCAATAACAAAGGATGTGCACACTGAACACAAACAGCCTGCTACTAATGACAGTGATATGAATTCTAAGTTCATGACTAGGGCTCTTTGGAGAGTTTGTAAGCAAATGGACATAGGCAACTGCTAGGTGTAAGAACCTTAACCTTTTAAACTCCTTGATGG